TTTGCTTATTTCCAAAGTTATCGTGGATTCTGGCTCGCATACCGGTGATATAGCAGCGTCATAACTTTAAGAGCGTATAAAAAAGCAACGGGGCAACTAATCAAAAATCAGAGACAAAGTTTTGACAAGTGATGTCTTGTGATCTCGGAAAAGTAATAAGCATTGGTTTCCGATCATTACCGGCTGTCATCGAACTTCGCGAAGATGCCACGGTTAAAATTTGAATAATTCGCTCTAACTTGAAAAGGATAAATATATTTTACAAAAAGGAAAAAAGGAATAGTTTCTACATTTATTCAGCTTTCAGAAAATGTATACTTTGTTGAGGTTTCGATTAAAAGGTTTTGTGCTATTAAGAGTTGAATGCACAATGGTCGCTAGGGGTACCCTGATACCTTAAATTCTGTGTTTTTTGTTTTTGTTTTAAATAATTTTCGCCGTTTTCGCTTGTGTTTGGGACCCTTGTGCAAATTTGAGCATGTTCCTTTTTTTGTTGTTTGTTATTTTTTTGTTACTGTTTTTGTTTTTGTTTTTTGTTCCTTAGTTCGTTTTTGTTGTTTCGATTTTTCGATTTAGTTTTTTAATATTTTTGATCTAATTATTTTTGATTTCCAATTTCTTGCATATTTTGATATGACTTTGAAGTTAATGTAAAAATAGTCCATTCTGACAAATGCTACATGTACACCTACTTGCAAGAACGTTGTCGAAAATTACGAAAATTAGTAATTTAGTGAGAAAGGAATACATTAAAAGACAAAAGAAAAAGTTCAGCTTCAGTCATCTTCTTTTGTTTTTTAATATAATTCCTATCCCACTAAATCACTAATGTTCTATTTTCGTATGACAACGTTCATCTCAGCAAGTAGGTGGATGAAACATCACATTGAAACCATACCTAGATTCAAACATGTTTAAATTCATTGATTTGAACCAAATGAAACGTTTAACTAACCATTTAGATACGCATACGATAGTCAATGAAAACAAGTACAATTTGAATGAATAAAACACAATCAAAGAAATGTTTGTTCAACTGAGATTCTCTTGATGAGGTGATAAACAGGAAGTAACGCGCAAAGAAATAAAAGACGATTGGATGAAATGAAATGAAAATAGAAAATGAGGAGCCAATAAAGTAAAAGAATAGATTTGTTATCAGTATCAAATGGCCAAGGTTAAGATTAAAGCTTGATCTCTCTAATTCTTTAAAATAAAAACATGGCGTGATATATTTTCCCTTTTGAATAGGCAACACGTTCATGTATTACGTCTAAAGTCGATAGTCCCATCAACCCCGAAAAATATAGATAAAATATCTTTAGAATAAAAAAGAAATAAATAAAGGGTAAAATAAAATACGTTAATAAAAAATAAAAATAAATATAAAATATGTGAGAAATAAAAATAAAAATATTAAGCGTTAAAAATATTTTAACAAATAGCGATAAATATCTTTAAAATTCTGAGCTGAACTAAAAGTCATTTCAATCAGAAACTAAACTTATATGATATTAGAGAAGTTATCTTTTAGCTGTCAATACAGATTTACTGTGAGGCAACGTTAATGTTAATCCAATTATCTACTTTCTTCTGGTTAAAATGCACCAAAAGTAGTCTTACACCCTTAGTGGCATCTGCTGAAGTCATAAATATATTCATAAAATTTATCGTGTTCGAGAGGGAAGTTGAATATAAATATAAAAACAGATTTTTTTCTTTCACATTTCCTAACCACTCAAAATGTCACAGATATCTTTAAGATGTCTATAAATAGGTGTACGTGTTTAAAAGAGTCAAACAACAAAACCTTGGCCATTTTGCTTGATATGAGAAAAGAGGCGAAACAATGGCTTCTAAACCAGCAACAGAGCTCTTGGAAGCATGCACGTTAATAAATAGTTAAAATCGATCACGCACAAACATTGATTACAAAATCAGGAGGATTGATCGAAAGGAGAAACACGAATATTGATCACAAAAAATTACAAATCTAAACCGGAAAATTGCGAATAAGTATCGGTAAGATCACCAATATCTATCGGAAAATCACGCATACTGACCATTTAAGATCCCGAATGTTGATCGGAAATTCACGAATATTGTTAGGTAAGTTCAAAATTAATAATTGAAAAATCATGAATATCTTTTGGGAAATTTACAAATTTTAATTGGAAAATCATGAATAATAATTGAAAGATCCTTCAGTGTCTGCCGTTTACAGCGTTGAATCATAGTTGTCGCACGGTTAAACGCTAACGAGTCGCAAAGACCTTTAAATCCCTTTAATTTTGAAGAAAAATGGAGAAGAGTAATAAAGGATTCACGCACGACGCTTTATTTAATCAGGCAGTTAAACAAACATTAGCAGCGTATGACGCAAACACTTGCGTCACTTCTCTATATAAAGATACATATATAGATACGTACTTATGGCATTTACTTGCTTGCGATTTCTTATAAGTTTTGATTCCCTATCTAAAGTGGTCCGCTGGCACTGACTTATGGCTCCCTTGCACTCGTACATTTTTTATCTTATTTATTTTTTGATAATTCACAATAATTCATAGAATTACCTTTTCATTTTCCTACTCATAATTTAGACTATATTTACCAATTAATATTTCTTTAGCGATTCCATTGGTGACGTTGTCTATGACATCATCGATTTTGATAAACATATATGACGTCGTTGAGTTTCTTTGAATTTTATTCAACTATTCTTTTTTTATATCTAAGTCACATATTTCGCTAACGTATTTTAATACAGTGCTAATTGAAAAACCGTGTGAGCAGCTAGAAGTATTTCAAGAATGAGGCCCCGTTACAACATTTAGGCTTAATAATTTTGGATTATTATGGATTATTGTGGATTATTAGGATTTTTTTTAGAGAAAAGATACTGATTGTCTCGGATCACTGAAAGTAAAGATTATTTGGATTATTTGTGTTGCATTTTAGTATTACGGATTATTATCGATCATTAATTTTAGGGATATTATTGTTTGCAAAATTGGATTATTTCCAAAATTTAATTAGGATTGTGTATTATTCAGACCCCCTCTTTACCATAACAGGGCCTCAAACCAGAATTTTTCTTAACCAATCACAAACCTTACTGTTATCTTTCCGTTATAAAATAAATTAAATAAATTAACTTTGTTTATAGAGGATAACACTTGACAGTAATTCAACTGATAAACTCGTGGTCCTCTTTTAACGTCTCTAATTAATTAGGGACGGGACCGCCATTAACGTGATCATCCGAGCCACGTGAAGGTCTAACCATTTGCAGATGTAATTACAAAGGCAGCACCTTCTCCTCAGTTATTTTAATACCCTGAGTGTTGGACCGGCCGAGGCTTGAACCAAGTGACCTCCCGCACAACAGACCGACGCTCTTACCAACTGAGCTAACCGGGTGGTTATCTTGTGGTTAGAGAACCATTTCTGATTGGCCAAAGGACACATCATTTATTTATTTTATTATCATAATATTTAAGCAGGGAGCCCATGTCTTCAAGGAGTTTTTCAATGGGGCCATGTAAACAATAGAACATTCTATGACTAGAACCTAGTTCCCAACGGTTTTTCGACTAGCACTAAAATAAGGAAAGCAATATAATACTAATTTATCACTGCAAGAGAAAATGAACTAAGAGAAGGAATCCCCGTGCCCCATCATGTGCACACTTTGATGCTATTTTTAGAATCATTAATGCTATTTTTAGCTCGTTACCATGCCCGCGCGATAATCATGCTTCCTTTAATGCCTCGTTTTAGGACACGAAAAGCGCCAAAACACAGGCTTTTGTTTACTGCAAGACTAGAAGCCGCCTACTCTCAAGAAATCAATCAGTCAGGTTCTTCGCTTAAAATATCTCCAAGCTAAAAATAGCATCAAACTGTGTACATGATGGTTACAAGGCTATATAGGTAGGATTCCTTCTCTTAGTTCATATTCTCTTGATTACGGTTAACACTAGTTTTATACAATATTAAATACATAGTTGGATTTCCCTCTTCCAACACATACTACATCCTCGTGGTCACATTTTTGGAAGTTTTTACCTATGCACGTATCTTGATCCTCTGACATTGGTGCAGATGTTTCAAGCTCAGAGCTCGACCAGCATTCTCCTAATTAGATATTTTAGAAATAATGTGTTACATAACATATTTTATTGGTTTGTTTTGCATCCAACTTGTGCATTACTTGACTTTTATAGTTAACTTCAATTTTTTATTTTTTTAAATTTAACTTTAAAATCTTTAAGTTTTAATAATAGCGTGAAGTCTATTTTAAATGTCTAACTACATTTAAAGTCGGTATAAAGTCTTATTTGTAATCGTTTTTTATAACATATATATTTATATATAATATTTTTAAATGGTTTTAAATTAAAATTTTCTTTCATTTTCTCAAACTATTTCAACTAGTAAATTCAATATTTAGATTATCTAAATTCATAAATTTAAAATTTATTTGGTTTTCTTTCCTTTCCTTTCCTTTCCTTTCCTTTCCTTTTCTTTCCTTTTCTTTTTTTTTTTTTTTTTTTTTTTTTTTTTTTATCATTTCATTTTATTTGTTGTTATTGTTGTACGTTGTTGGGTGTTTTGCATTTTCAAATCATTAGAATTACAAATCACAAATTATCTATATTTCTTTCGTAGAGATCCAATTCATGAAACATTTTCAATTCTGGTTGGTAAAAGCCCTTGAATTCCTCAAATATTGTACTGAAAACCACGCATGCGCAAACGTTTCCTTTAGTCTTCGCGAATAAATAAACTCATTTACCATGTTTTGTTATGATCGAATTGTTAACAAAATCTAAAAATATATATTTCAATATATTTGTTCTGAAGATGGACAATATGTCCGCCAAAAGCTCAGTAAATAATATAAATATTAAACACAATGGTCTTCTACTTACATTCAAATCTAAGATTTTTTTAATTTTTGAAATAAATTTTTTTGTAACTTTTAAAAGACTTACCAAAATTTTGCAGCGAGAAGTATTTGTAGTTGTGCTCCTTGGTTTTTGCAGCACATCTACATGTCAGATCCATGATGTACGAGTTCCAATGTGACAAGTCGAGAGACACGTTGCTGTATTTGGGCGAGTTTGAGTTGCTGTCCGTGAACAAAAGAATAGGAAACGCGCGGTTGTTGTTATAGCAACCAACTTTCTCGTATTTGACGTGGCAAAGACTTTCTGTTGAGAAAAATGCATATGATTGGCTCATTGATCAACACACCTTTTGGGCCAATCAAAATATTTCATGAGAAATGACATTATTTGAAAAAAAGTATATCCACAACGACAACAAAAACAAAAACAAAATCATAAGATTTTATTGGAATGAATCATTTTTATTGCATAAAAGAAAGAGCTAGAGACTGTTTGTTGAAAATTAATCTCATTTTCTTTCGTTTCTTACTTAATTCTTTGTTATTTACCGATTCCGGCTGTGCTTGAGTGGCACCCAAACGATGGGAAGTTTTTCCCAATGGAATACAGAATGTCCGACCATCAGACTAGTAGTTATCGATTTTTTTCTTAATGTACCTTGAATGCATCGATTCTACAGAAATGTCAGAAATCGGTGTTTGTTCTATGCTGTATATCAAAAAACACATTTTATCTTGTCCGACGTAGCAACAGTAACTAAGGAGGTAGTACAATGAATGCGGGATAGCCGGTGTATTAGACCCCTTGCATTGATTTCCTAGAGGAATTGTTCTGGGGGCCAAAACAATGGGCCCTCTTTTCTTATGCAAAAAAGGAAAAAAAATCTTCGTTTTACCATCCAGAACAAATCCTCTCAGGAATCAGTGCAAGGAGATTATTGTCACAATATATTAACTTCTGTTCATTTTTTCCTTCAACTTTACTGACCATGTGCCAACATCATATACACGAAGTTAGAAAGGCTCTCCCCGACACAGTTCTTCCTTGATCTCTCTGCACATTTTTCAAATCCTTTAGAAACACAGTGAGAACTTCTCCCTGCACGGGGAAAGGACGCACCAGCATCTTGACCGGACCAACATTCACCTGGGAACAGAAAAATTTCATCTGTGTATAATACATCGATAACCCTGTATTAATAGATTTAACAGATCAAAAACAGTTTTCCATGTTTGATACTCTGATCAAAACATGCGGGATGTTGAGAGAACACGAGAGGAGCGTAGGAAACCACGACGCGTAGCGGAGTGGTTTCCAGTATCTCGAGTGTTCTCCCAACATCCCAAGTGTTTTGGTCAGAGTATCAAACACAGAAAACTGTTTTTGATTTGTTTTATAAAATAACAAACTCGCGAAAAGATCGAAAAAAAGCAAATTTAAGTAAATTCTCCCTAATGCCGTCTTATTCAAACTGACCAATGAGCGCGCCCGATAGATTAAAAATGACGATAGCGTGTTTTGATACTCTCATCAAACATGGTTTTCGACCAATCATAGCGCGCGTAGAATCCCAATTATTTTATAAACTTTCATAAAGCGTTCGCACCGAGGGTGAATGGGCTCTTGATCTGGGATGATGCTGGCACGCACACTCAGCATCGGAGGTTGATGCTTGATCTGAGAATATGCTGGCCCACCAACCTAGTATGGGAGCTTGATCTGGGAAAATGCTGGCTGACAGACCTAGTATGATGGAAGATTGATGCTCCTAGTAATAAGCTCCTGGTGCGGTGGAAACATGTTGGTTCACAGACCAGTATGGGAGAAGGATGCTCCTAGCATTGGGCTCCTAACCCACACGGCCCGTGTCTCTGTGCTTTTAGCACTTTTAACTTACTCTTGACTTACCATAAAACTGTAAAGCAAAATATCCAAATCTATTTTTAGCTGCTGCCTTTGCGCACCGACACGTGATGTCATCAACATACTTGTCCCAGTTCTTCCAGTCTATCTCTTGTCCACTTGATCCGTCACGATCATTGAAAAGTAGCTCTGGAAGAGGACGAGGTTCGATTTGATCATCTTTGAAGCAACCAATCTTTATGAATTTTAGATCACAAGCTCCATCTGAGGGAGATAAAAGAACATGAGGAAATTAGTGCACGAGAAAATAGAGCCATTCTTGGCTTGGGTTTAAAGTGCCTAACACCATTCTGACAATATGCTTAGAATGCCTCCTCATACGTCACAGTCATTAGCATATGGCATGGAAAAAACCTTGATAACTTCAAGACGTCGCACTCATACTATGAATAGGTGTTTAAGTAATACCTAGCTGGGGACTAAGTGTCTTATCGTATTCTCGCTACTTGCCTTACTTCCCTTTTGGGCAAATCTTGAAGTAACTAAATAATTAGAAATGGGATATTGAGTGACTATTCTTCAATTTCACGTTACATGATCGCGGCCATGTTGGTGTTATTTAACAAAAGATAAACCGCACCAAGAAGGCTGCCATGTTGTCCTTGGGCTCTTTTAAGTTTGGGAACGCTTACAACCCAGCAATACGAATTTTTAATACAGTTTTACATACTCATAAGTCTCACTGTACTCATATATGAGAAATGGGAGCAGACGTAGTGGAGCTACAGCTGATCAAGGTATGGGATTACGGGGGAAAAAAGATAGCAACAGAACAGCGTACGACCTTCTCAGCCGGGATTGAACCAAAGTGACAGATTATGCTAATCAGCTTGTCTTGTTTATACATGTGTACTGATGAGATCGCTAAAAATAGAGCTAAACAACTGTGTCAACTATCAGCAAAGCCCGGATCTTGAAACTGTTTTCATAACAAACTTTATTTAACTGAGAGAACATTGCACCACCACAGATAAGTCTATTCTCAAAGGGATGCCGGCACAAATCAATATAGACATTGGTGTCTGAATTTCTCTGGGATTTGTTTGCTCGCAGGAACACGAGAGAGACAAGAGGAAACGAGATCTTTGACACAATAATAATGATTTGTACAGCTGGTTTCGGATCGTTTGATACATCAGGAAGAAAGCGGAGTGTATCGTCAGTATGTCTTGAGGATGTCACAACCATGGCAACGCACTCTTCAAAGCCAACAGGTGAAGAAGCAAAGATACTTATTCACATTTGTATTTCACTACAACGTAAAATTAAGGATCTTAAGCCAAGTGTCTTCAAGAAAAATCGCTACAAAAATATTTTTTGATATCAAATATTACATTTAAGACTGAAACGCATATTTTTAGATAGTGCTTATAGTGATAATTATTAATTGCGAAAATGTTGAGCAAATAATGAATGAAATTTTGAATATGAAGAGATTTCAAGAAAAAGGTTATAACAGAATTATCAAAACTCTTCAGAAATAATCTTTTTGTCGAAAAAAAAGAAAAAAAAAAACTATTCAGCCAAAACGTTTTATACAAACCGTTGTTATAATTATAATGTAAAATCAAAATACTCGCATTCAAGATCTTCACCTAGAAAAAAAAATACAACAAGTATTTTCTACTTTCTTAACTTGATAAAATTTTATATTTTGACCCTAAAAATTATCTCGATTCAAACTTTTGCCAATTTAGTGAATAAAGGCGGGAAAGTTGGGCACGCGCGCGTTCGCTTCTGTTCCCGCCTTTTTTGTCTGGGACTAAAAGTGTTAAATATCTCCATTTCTAAATTTAGGGATCTGTTATCTAAATTTAACAAATCTGTTATTAAAATCACTATTAATCAATAAAACTACCTACCAGCATCTTCTATTGAAAACCCAATCCATAGAACGAGAAGAAAAACAGTCTTATTTAACATTACTACTTAGGAACCAGAGTCTATTCTCGTATAATCGATAGATTCTTCGAAGGGTCACGCTACAAGTGATATCAGCTAGGTTCGCCTTGTCCTTATAAAGAAACAATGTCAGGCGACCAACGTACGTAAATGTTTATATTTACTGTAAATTTAATAAGACTAAATACTGGGTGAAATGTGGTTTGCCGACCTGCCAAAGGTTAAAAGTTTCTACGCTTGTTTATCGTTCAACATTTGACTTAAAGCAAAACGTTTTGCATAAAAAAGTTAAACATTTACTTTATTATTTGTAGAAAAAAATATGAAAGTTTTAAAATAAGACAGCTTGAAACCGATAAACTGGATTTTTCATTATTTTAGTGTTCATCTAGGAACATATTTTTTCACGATAAGTATTTCTTCTGAATTCAAACTTTAGATGAAATCCCTCCAATTTCCGCTAGAGGGAAAACATTGACAAACACACACACAAATATAAACTCACAGAATTTCATCGACATCGTTTCAAAAAGGCTGCCGATTATTATTTTGAAAATAAGGTAATAATGTTTGGAATTCTAGTCAACAAATATGTAAATTTCATCGTTTTTCAGATGTACATAGTCTTTGTTTTTTATAATTTGATTGGTGATCTTAGAAGAATGTTGGTGAGATTTTTCCGACAAAAGAGAACTGCTTCTTTTTCTTATGTTTTCTTTACATTTGAAAGGGAAAGGGAGTTAAGAGTTAAGAAATTTCCCCTCTTTAGGTATTTTTGAACAGGTGACTCTCCTGCTGTACATCTATCTGTACACTTCCAGACATTTGCTCGCTTGCCCGTTCTACCTCAGTCTGGTCGTCTGTCTGTCTGTGCAGTGTGTCTGTGTGTCTGTGTGTCTGTGTGTCTGTGTGTCTGTCCTGTCTGTCCGACCGACCGCCTTTCCATCTTTCTGCTAAGTGTAAGTACTAAGTGTATCTGACCCCCTGTCTTTCTGTCTACGCTTCACTTTGCCCCACGGTTTTCTCCCGCAATTATTAGAGTGAATTCGTTTATCGCAGTTTCACATGCTAACGAGGTTTGCTAATACTATAATGTGCTGTGTAGTTTAATCCTGAGAAAACCGTCGGTCTGAGTAATCATTTCCAAACATACAAAGTAGAGAAAACTGCCAGCAAAATAAGTGTTTTTTTTTAGAATTTTGCAAGGATAACTAAGCTGTTGTATCCGTAATGCCGCATTTTGTTTTACGTTATAATTTTATAACGCGATGCAGCATAGGATACAAACTAGTCTCTCAATTCTCATATCATAAGTCATTATATACCTATTTCAAAAAACGTTGTCATCGCCAAAAGCGATAGGCGAAAAGCGATACGGAGATAGGTCATTCCAAGATCCAAGAATAGCTTGAATGACTTGTGTTTCTGCTTCTTATTCTCGTCAAGAACATGGACCTTAGCGTTGAGACTGATTCAAAGTTCTTCGTATTTAACGAAACCATTTCCATATCCGAATGCCCTATGGCCTATCGCCATAGATAATAATAGATGTGTATCTAACTATATATGGTAACACCTTTTCGAGTGGAATCTTTGGCCAAAACCTCATTAATGAATTTTAAATTCATATTATTTTATAAACTTAAAATCCTCTTATTTCATCTTAATCTTCATTGTCCGTTTTCCTGGTAATTGTTCAACTAATTCTCAAAAGATTCATCAAAAAGCTTATTATGATACTCCATTGGTGTTGCAAGAAGACTTTCAGACGCCGAATAGGAATCGCACACGTTTTGCTAAAAAAATATGAATCCACCTTCTTGTGAGAGGGGTGGCTGGGGAATTCTTTTGCAGCACTCGAGCTCTTTTAAACAATTATTAGCCTTGTAATGCATGGCTACCATTTTGGATAACTGTGTAACCCCGAAATAAGCGTACTTAAAGTTTTGAATGCAAAAATATTCATTGAATGACGTAACGTGCAATCAAAGAATAGACTTCTTTACCTTGGGCGTAATGTTTTCCCAATAGACCTTTCCCGAATTCGCTTGACTGACCACGAAACAATGGTTTGAAGTCGAGACTGAACTTAATTCTTTTATTCATCAAGTTCAACCTCGATTTGAAACCATTGTTTCGTGATTAGTCAAGCGAATTCGGGAAAGGTCTATTCAGATCATTCCCTTAAGTATCATTTCTTTGTTTACCAGTTGCACATGAGAAGACACATGGATCAGTAGATAACTCAAACAAAAAATCTTATTCTCAAGAAAATTATAAGTGGTTGATCTGAAAACGTTTATTCTATTTTTCATGGCCAGCTATGATATAGGCCGTGCTGTGACGTTGAAATATAGTCCCTAAAAATTCTGAAAAAGATATTCCGAAGCTTTATTTATCCAATTATCTATTTTTATTTCTAGTCGTAACATTGAACATTTTATGACTTGACAGTCATAATAACAAAAATAAGTAACAACACCATTCTTTTTTTAATATTTGTGAACAAGTAAAGTTTATTGACAAAAAAGCCTTGAGCTAAATAATTAATCGGCTGCGAATGAATATGTGAATTCAAATGTAAAATGGTGTTATATAATTTGAGCATGGCCAACCATTAACGTCTCTCGTCGTGCAGAAATTGCTGGAACGTCTCTTTTTGAAATAAGAAATCTACTATATTAAAACATTTGTCCAGTGCTAACAGTTTGCTTTTCCGAGCTTCAGTAGATGACACATTTTTACAGTTCCACACAAACTCCAAAAGCACAGAACAGTTTAAGGTAAGAAAAATAAGTTTAATTTTGAAAGCAATGATTGCATTTAACTTGGTTTATTTTCCCATGAATTGTGAACCATGTCATGTGAAACTTTTTGTAATACAATATTTCATTTAAAATGTTATCCAAGTTGTGAAAATAATAAAAATGTTGTACTCTTATAGCATCCAACGTTTTTTTCCATCTTGGTAAGTTTTAAAACCGATTTTTTTAAATCTTAAAAACTTAAAATTTCACAAGTATTCTTCGACACTTAAATTTTAATAGATTAGAAATATGAAGCCTTCATGCAAGAAGAGTAACTATATTTCTTATTTTAGAGGTATATCAAGTCATGATTTGAGTTAAAATGGATGACAAACATTCAATACATCTAACAATTCCTTAGAAGTTGAAACGTGTCTAATTTTTAATCAATTGCGCAAAAGTCGTTCTAACAACATAAAAATTGATAAATATGTTAATTTTTGATACATATTTTTGACGCTGACGCCTGCTAGATAACTAGCTAGCCTTTAGGAGCCGCAAGGCTTTAGTCTGTGATTTTAATGTTATTCTACTATAGTTTTTGTCGCTCGTGGTGCAATCATGTATCTAGACTTGCGGTCCTTTTACTAACTATTCAGTAATAACTTACAGTGGAACTTTTCAATCTTTTTCATTGCATCAGTTGGAATAAAAAGATTGATATTACAAATATTTTTTATGGGAGAAAGAAATATTGCTATGAATGTTTTAGCACTTTTTCCTATATTATTCTACTTTCCAAAATTGTCTGACTTTGCTATTGATATGTAAACTAGTGTAGTTTCGAATCAGTATATATCAATTCTGTTTTACAAGACTTGTTTAGCATGATTTTCTTGCATTTCATTTTACAATTTTTTCGGTCGTTTTTTCTTTTCCTTTTTCCTTTTTTTTTTTTTTTTTTTTTTTTTTTTTTTTTTTTTTTTTTTTTTTTTTTCTCTCTCTGGTTTTACTTCCTTTGATGATATTTTTAGACAAACGTCTGGTGATGATAATGAAGATGGTTATTTTAATGATGACAATGGCAACGATAATGACAACCATAATGACAATATAAAGATGGTGATGATATCATCGATTATTGTAGAACGTTGTGGTCTAAAGGTAATACTTCCGTTATCACACTTTATTTTTTTATGAAATAAATTCACAACTCATGTATACAACCTAATTCTAACTATAAAGGCTCAACCATATCCGAACAGTGTCCAAAACAGCATATTGATATTTCCTACACAGTTGAGGTAACATCAATCAATCAATTTCTTCAGCCCATGTTATTCCTTAGAACGACATTTAGCTGCTATCTAATAGAGTAGGATAACACTTTACACGATTGTGGAGGGCTCTGCTGAAGCAAATATCAGATCTCAGCTTTATCATTAGCTCAGTCATTTACAATGATCATTTAATTCCTTTAAATTATCCTAGTCATGTTTAAAGTATTAGAAAAAGCAGGGAAGACACAATAGTGAAAAAAGGAGGAAAGAAAACAAAAGAAAGAAGGAAGGAAGGAAGAACGAACGAACGAACGTACGATCGGTCGGACGGACGGACGGACGAACTAACGTTCGTTTGTAACCATATATTTTATGTTCTTGTAATTTCCTATTCTTCAAATTTTACTATTAAGATCTTGTTAATTAAAGTACAGGAAACTAGCATTTTTCATATTCTCGACTTTCACATCCCCATAATCCTTTGCGTTTTTGGGGGTAATCAGAGGGTAAAAACCCACTTATTTTGCTGAAGGCTGATCAGACAATGTTGACAATACCTTGTTTGGTATCCAAAAATAAAATGAAGAAGTAAAAAAACAGAAAAACATAGAAGCTTGAAGACGTTTAAGGTAAATTTTAAACATTTTTTCGTAAGTCAATACA